TAATAAGACATTTGTTATAAGTAACTCAATTTCAAAGGAAACTTCTCAGTCCTTCCGATTTTATTATTAGTTATCGTGATTCGTAATTGTTTCTATTGTGTTTATCATATTGTTAAATTAAATGTTTTTAAGCAATGTTTACATATTTTTTGTCCATTACCAATAAAAAGTCAATAACTATTGCCACCATTTTACATTTTATTGGTCATCATATTATAATAGTTTTTGTTTCATAAATAATGCGATTCTGTTTTGGGTTGCCATGATTCTTAGTTGTTTTCTATTATGCAAATTATGTTGATTGCTTAAATGTTATTAACAGAAATTTATGTTTTTTTTAACCGACTTCGAAAAAGGAGGAGGTTTTCAATTCAACTGTATGTCCTTTTTTTTTCTTTTTGTATGTATGTTACGCGATAACTCCGGTATTTGTGAACCGATTTCCATGATTCTTTTTTTTTTTTTTGGAAAGGGGGTACTTCCATAGCGGTCCCATTTCATTTTGAAGAAAATCATCCACCTCGAAGGGTGGTTTTTCAGGCATGAAGATTCATTTTTATAAATAGCGCCTAACTTTAATTTAGCAGCAATTATTTTAATGGTTGATCTTGCTATTTCTCCAATTCAAGGCGTTTTTCTCTCAATATACTTTGAGTAGTATCGTAGTGAGAACCTATTTTTATTATCTCCAGTGTCAAGTCCTGTATAGTGGCGAACTAGGGGATATTTCAATAAAATTTAGCAAATAGCCGTAATTCCACGTACTTTTGAGGTCGGTTTTTTTAGTACTCTGTACTGAGATTATTTGTTTTTAAGTTTAGGCAACATTATACAGGGTGTAATCGTTATGTGTGCCCAGACAATTATTCCATAAATATAAGAGATATCAAAAAGCTTTAAACTGATATCGAAAGTACGTTACCTAATGAATAAAGCGACATCAATAACTTTTTGAAAATACAACTAAAAATATCCAAAATTTTAACATTAAACGCTCCCATACGTTTAATGTGACCGTCGTAGAGGGGTTTTAGTTTTCCTACTGTAAAAGGTACCAATAAGTTAACAAATGACAAAACTGATACCAAAAAAGGAAAAAATAAAACTATCTTTTAATTTATAGCAAATGAAACTATTTTTCCGGATTCAAATGGCGTATATTTGTTTTTTCAAACAAACCAACGTTTTGGACCCTTTACAGGTCCCATGGTCACGGTTGACTGAGGTGGTACAGTCTTCAACCAGTTATGTCTAATATTGATGCAAACCACCCTATTTTTTCACTATAGTTACAATAGTTATTAATTAAATACCTTATTTTTAATTTTACAAAGGAAACATTCCAATTTACGCTACATTAAGTTTTACAAATTATTTTATTGAATGAATTTTTATTAAGTTCAATTTATTATTAATTAATAATAGAAATTAGAATAAACTAAAACATATTAATTAGTACTGCAGTCTTATGTCTGTTTGGGATTTTTCATTAGAGGAAATACTGGATCCCAAACTGGTGGTACGGAGAAACCATCTTCCCTGTTGAAATTAGGATGTTTTTAAATTTCAATGGTCTCTCGCAGCATCCTGGGCAGATAACGGACTTCTTTTGCAAGGACCTGGGGTTTGTCAAACTTCATTGAATGTGTAGGTTTATCCATGACATGCTCGCAGACTGCAGACTTGTTTACGCGACGGTGTTTGACATCAGCTATATGTTCTTTGACGCGGGTACAAATACTTCGCTTTGTTTGTCCAATATAAGAGAGACCGCACTCACAGTCAAGCTTGTAAACTCCTGCATCCTGTAAGGGGATGTTACATTTCACGGGTCTCAGGCACTGAGAAATCTTCCTCATGGGCTTGAAATAGGTCTTGATAGATGCATGCCTGAGGACTCTTCCGATCTTGTCTGTAAAATATACGCGATTTAAATCCGGAAAAATAGTTTCATTTCCTATATGTAACAATCGCGAAAACCTAAGAACTCGATATATCTTTAAATTTAAATTTTAGATAAAAATATAATGGTATAGTCAATTGTTTGGTCAAGTGTGAATTGTCCATAAAAATGAATAAAATTGGTATTTTGTTTTAGTGCTGATCGACTCAATTTCATATAACGGATCATTTCATTGCATATTATGTGAAACTGTATAAATGAAACTAGATCATTTTTTGTCAAAACTAAATCGCGTATATATGTTTTACCTTTTTAAATAAATTAATACTTCGGACTCTTTACGTTTCTGGGATATTTGAAGAGCGAAAAAATACTATCATTTTCAATGTAGCCATCGCGAAGACCTAAAAATTCGATAAAATGAATTAACCCCTTGTCTGACAAGGTGTCGGTTTCCAGCTACATTGAAATTTCGCGCATCTGCGTATCGGCCGACGTCTGCTTATTTCAATTTTGACTACGCTCTAATGGTTACTAATTGCGTTATTGCCTTCTTTATTCCTATTTTGACCGTTTCGAAATAAAATTTTATATATACATTTTAATAACGACAGGCGAATTCGATTATCTATATTGAATTAAAATTAACAACTTACAAATATGTCTCCTCTTCGTATTTTAGTACACATAATTCTAAATGTGGTGTATGAATGTATGAAACTTACAAATATTGACAATTCCATTGAACTAGCTCCCAGCGGTTGGACGAATAATGGGCCAATGTTGATTCAAATTATACAAGTTCGACGGTTTATTTCATGACCGTAAACAACATTCGGTCGATAGTCGACAGAATATTTGTCGACTGCAATCACCAGCGGATTGAAAGCGGGCAACACTTTTGTGCCATGATCATTTTACTGCATTTTTCTCCATCTTCAAAAAGACAGACTATAACCAATGACCTTACAAATAAATGGACGACGGGCTTAATACAAAAACCACGAAAAAAATGTCCCAAGTCAACCTATTTAAACGTAGTGACATGTAAAGGAATATAAAAAAGCTAAAACGTTGAATTTAACTTGTAATGTCATCGCAGTACTGTCTAATTTTGTAAGTCGAACAAACGAAGACTAAAGCGTGAATGACGCTCTGTATACGATTTTAACGCCCTATAAGTTCGGACACTTTTTAGCGCGGACCCGACGTCCATATAATTGTAAGTCAATGACTATAACCAAAAAATTATCTTTTGCTATAATTTCTATTTGATGTCATTTTGACCGGAAAATGTCAACGCGTCATAGGTTAAAATATCAATTGCAATAAAAACGCTCAGGTTGTCTTACCCATTGTAAGTAATATACCTATCCTATATCTATCATATATCCTGCCTGTAGCTACCAATGATATGGTTACCTCATGGAGCGCTGAGTGGAACAAAAGTAAACATACTAACGGCTAATATTTCGCTGAAATCCAAACTTGTATCCCAAAAAGCCTTGGTTTTTATTTATAAAGAATTTAGTAAAACTGTAACGTCTGCAGTATGCCGACTTCGTATTGGTCATACCTGCACCCTTAGAATAATAATGCATAGAATGATAGTTTCATATCAAACGAATTGTCACAAGTGAGGCAAAAATCAAATTCATGTAGGTTAGTTTTAGTAGTAGGTTAATTTTCGGTTTTAGTGAATATTTATATAAAAATACAAGTTGAAACGCGTTACTTCCATGTGGAATGTGATGTTAGTATCTATTTTATGTTTGTCTGGCGTAGTTTTACACTCATTTACCGCACATTTCGCCATTTTTAGCTAACATTCTTGAGCTGTTCGCGGTGCAAGTTGACCTTGAGCACTGACGGCCCGCCCGCTCGTGTAGGCCCTTTGGGAGCGCTTCAATTTGCTTCACTTAGCGTGTGCGGACTAGGTTTCTATGCGTTATTATTCTAAGCCTGCACCCCGATCCATCTGGCAAAACTTGGAATACGAGATAGTTCAATTTGTGAATGTGGTCTGTATGAAGGTACCCCAGATATTTTTCAGCTGCTCTACCGGAACATATTCCATTTATGATAGTCTTCCACCTTCTATTCCTCGCCCCGTAAATTTCAAGTGTCTTCTTAGAATGAATATCCGATTTGATTAGTACTAACAAACTTAAATTATAAAACTAATTTACTCATATTAATATATCGTAATGGTGATGATAAATCGTGTTGTTTCGTATTGTTCCAGAAGCAGGAATAGACTAAAGAGCAGTGTTAATAAATTAAACATTAAAAAAAATTGTGTAACTCCCATGACCGACTTGACATTGGTAAAATTCTTCAAGAGAAGCCAGAAACTTAAAAATAGTACAGAATAAAAAACTGTGTTTAGTTAAAAATGTCACTTACGGTAAGTCGTCGATCGTGAGTCGATATTATTTTATTTAGTATTATTAACTAAACCTTTTGACAATCGACACCAGCAGTACAATATTATAAATGAGTTGGCCGGTAGAGATAGAGCCTGGTGAGTTGTAAGGTCTAGTACTTAGTACGCACTGCAGTCTCTCATTAATTGCTCTTATATTATTTAAATTTGAGACTATTTTTTAAGTTTTTGTTATGTAAATAATAAAGGATATGCAAGTATAAGTGAATATTATTATATATTTAATAAGTAGAGCAAGTTTAAATGTAACAGTATATACATGAGTGACAAGAGTGAAAAATAAAAAGTCAGACTGTAGCCATAGCAACCTACGGCATAGACAATGAAGAGTGATAGAATATGCATTCTCTTCACACTATTTAATCTAAGTTTTGTATTTATGTTTAAATAATCTCACTACAGAGTACAAAACAATCGACCGCAAAAGTTCGTGATATTACATGTAAATTCTTGAGGTAAATGTATGTTACATACAAATAATACAGTAGAATTGAGACACTCCTCCTTTTTTAAAAAATTGGTTGAAAATAAATCATTATTTTTATTATTTGGATATCCATTTGAGAATTTTATTATTATTATTAGTTACGGAGAACTGCACATCAGACTACACATTTTTGTTCGAAAAGTGCAACGGAACAAGATACGTCAATGTGTAGCTTGATGCGCTGGTGTACATACATAAGAAAACTGTGTATTGTGAAGACCCATTCAACCTCTATTCGACCTTCTCTCTAATCTGATAGGAAATGAACTATAGGTGACCAAATAGCCAATTCTAAACTTTGACATCTGTCAAAGATAAGAGTCTAACAATTACTCAGGTTCTCGCGATTGGAATGAACCTATTTTTCGGATTATGAAGTATATTTGTTTTTTTTTTAACTGACCAACGTTTCGGGCTCCTTAGGAAGTCATCAAACTTATTAACGCGGAATTGTCTTGATGCTATTGTGTTTAACCACACTTGTCTCATTGAGCCGAATCGCGCGCCGTCGCGCCGGTCGTTTCTAAGCCAGGATCAGCCGTGTCGTTGGCATGCCTACAGACGCGATCAACAATTCGCAGGAAGCAGTACTCTACACTCGTTCTCCGTCTGGCACCCGTCGGAAATAATCTCAGTACAGAGTACTAAAAAAACCGACCTCAAAAGTAAGTGGAATTACGTCTATTTGCTAAGTTTTATTGAATCGGTCCAACAAACAAATCGGTTCTCACTACTCAAAGTATATTGAGAGAAAAACGCCTTGAATTGGAGAAATAGCAAAATCGACCATTAAAGTAATTGCTCCTAAATTAAAGTTAGGCGCTATTTATAAAAATGAATCTTCATGCGTGAACAGCCACCCTTCGAGGTGGATGATTTTCTTCAAAATGAAATGGGACCACTATGGAAGTAGCCCCTTTCCAACAAAAAGAATCATGAAAATCGGTTCACAAATACCGGAGTTATCGCGTAACATACATACAAAAAAAAGAACATTGCGACGAATTGAAACCTCCTCCTTTTTTTAAGTCGGTTAAAAATAACTGTGAAATAAATAATATTCGACCAAATTAAAAAACAACGTCAAGAAGCTTCACTCGCATCATGCGTCTTTTCGGACCGATGTCGGGCGAAGAATGAGAGCAGACCCCCTGATTCGTTGCCGACCTGTGTCGAGCAGCGTTCGCACGAACCGATGCGAAACGCACGTCTATTCCGCTCTTACGTTCATCGACATAAAGCTTTTTTATTTTATTTATTTATTCATGTGCGTTGGTAGACACGTTACATTTAAAATTACATGCACCCAGTATGATAAGTCTTATAAACTAAAATTAATAATACAATTTGAATACAAGAATTAAAATTAATAATACAATTTAAATGCAAGTTAATAGTTAACATAAGGGTAGCAATATTATTACTTAAGAGAGTCATCGTAAAAATATTCATTAACTGAGTAATAGCACTTTTAATTTAGTAATAATTTGTCAAAAAAAAGTTTTTAATGTGTCAGGTCATTTGTTATAATAGATTTTTACTGCTCTATAATGTGGGCTATTTCAATTCCGATACGGGGTGTTGGTTAGACTAAGATGGTATTTCGGCGATCTCGATTAATATTTATCCTTTCTTTCTTTGTTTCCATGAAAAATATACAAGAAAGTGTGAAAATATTCTTTTATAAAAATTGGTTTGCAGCTATTTCTTGGTCGGATATTATAGATTGCACGAATACAATTTGTTTTGTATAATAAAATGATCATTTTCTGACCGGCGCGCGGCGTAATGCAGTTCTGCGTTAACAAGTGTGGTGACTCCCGTACGTGTCCTATGGTTACGGCTAACCGAGATGATATTAGCAAAGTAAAATAACACAAGAATGGTAACTCCATATAAACGTCGCAGCGCAGTTTGTACGTGTACGCACTCGCCGCTTGCTGTGTACGGCTGTGTGCACACATTCGCACAATCTCGCGAAACACTCGCATTGCATAGCATTGGTCATCACACGCGCTTTTCTTTATTTTGCGCACGTGCACACACATACAAGCCGCGCTGCTGCGGCTGCGTATGAATAGAGTTATCATACTTGTTTTATTATACTATGTCTAGTATTAATACAAACTACCCTACTCTAGACTATAATTACAAGAAGTTATGTTTATTTTATTTTGTATGAATACCTAACACAAAAACTTGCGAATTATTTAATATTCATGTCATTGTTGTCATTATCAAATACAATTATTCGGATTAGGTACTGTACACAGCATCCAAGGGTTGTAAACCTTTCTGGGAATATCTTCACGACGATTTTTCCCTTCAGCGCAAGCGCGAGGTATTGCTACTAAACCACGAACAACTAATACCACTGAAGCTAACATTTAAAGATAAACAACTCGTGCACTTGGTGGAAAGCGACATGCATGTCCATAACAGTCGCAGTGCCACTCAGAGAAATATTGTACAAGAAATCTAAATTCCATAAACGATTATCCATACAAGATATGTGTCATATAATACAACAAAACTCAATTTAGTAACATTAAACAAGTGGAATATTATAGTAAAAAATATTACGTAATATTTACTCAAGTGGACGTACACGTCAGAGATAAGCAATCAAACTGTGATATAAATACATACGTATCACTAACGTTACTTTATATTCAGTTGTGTACTAGACAGAGACGCTATCTTTAGGGCTAAAGACGTACATAAGTGTCTTTCTCTTAGTTGTGGAAAATAACACAAATTAAAAGTCGAACAAGAGCCGTGAAATTAATTAGAAAGAAAATAAAGGATAAGTGTAAAAGATATACCAACAATGAGTTTTACACACAAATCAGTGATAGTCACAGGGGCTAGCTCCGGCATTGGAGCTACCACAGCCATATTATTTGCTAAACAAGGAGCCAGTGTAGTCATGGTAGGAAGAAATGAAACCAAATTAAATGCTGTAGCCGCAAAACTTCCAAAGAATGCCAAATCATTGATCCTTAAAGCAGATGTCACTACAGATGCAAAGAAAATCATCGATGAAACTGTGAATAAATTTGGCAAAATTGATGTACTGGTCAACAATGCAGGGTTTGCTAAATATGGATCTCTTACTGATGGGAAATTCTTGGAAGCCTATGACGCTGTAATGAGAACAAACGTGAGAGCTGTAGCTGAACTTACTATGTTAGCTCTTCCGTATCTCACGAAGACTAAAGGGAATATCATCAATATATCAAGTGTTGCAGCTATTGTTTTGCCTTTTGATACGAGGAATCTAAGTTATAATGTTTCCAAGGCTGCTTTGGATCATTTTACTAGAGGAGCAGCGTTGGAATTCGCTCCGAAAGGTATATTATAGTCATATTTACTTATCAATATATTTATTCATTATGCCTCTGTGTTAATAGGCATTTGCTGTCTTATCACTTTGGGTTCTAATTAGTTTAATATCTAATTAGAACCCAAAGTGATAAGACAGCAAATGCCTTCATTCTCATGAATCTGAACAAAAAACATTCAAAGTCAGGAGTGACAGCTTAAAAAAGTAACGAGAACGGTCACTCTCCGCTGTCCACTGTCTTACGAAGCCGTGAAACCTTTCCGAAAATCCGTAATTCGGAAAATAATTAACTAATATTTGGTGGTTTTAACAACTTCATATCGCTCCTTATAGCTATGTTTGTACATGTATCTATATATATGGAACATCTTTTTCCAACTATGACTTACGTGAGCGATGGAAAATCGACCTGATTTTGCTGTTTTTACAAAACCTCATAATTAGCAAACACCATTTACAGGTATCAGAGTCAACAGTGTCAACCCTGGACCGGTATCAACAGACTTCTTAGAAAACATGGGTGCTGACATAAGCTTCGATGATTTGAAGACGTTAACTCCTCTGAAGAGAATCAGTGCTCCCGAAGAGATTGCCGAATTGATTATGTACCTTGCTAGTGATAAAGCTCTGGGAATTACTGGTTCGATTATGGTTGTTGATAATGGGCGTCTTCTGAAACCCTAAAGCGGCTAACACACGGGCACGGTACAAACTGTAAAGTAATTATCGCACGGTGCCCTTGTGCCTTGTGAAAAACCACAATTAAGTTGGTTATCCACCGGCGAGGCGAGACGAGAATTGAAATTTGTATGACAAAATTTCAAATCTCTCCTAGCCCATCTTCGGTGGAAATGGTCTAGATTGACGAAGATGGACGAGGCGAGAATTGAAATATTTTTTACGTTTTTCTCGCTCGCGATAGCCATTAATATAAATTGCGAGATTGTGTGGTATGTACGATCTGAGATTTAAAAAGAGATGGTTACATCTGATACTTCTACCGTTGACGTATTTAACAATAATAATTTACGGGATACTATTCATGCAATTTCAGCCACGATTTTACACCTAGATGATGAACTGAACAGCACTGAATCTTCACTATCCAGAACCACAGTCCGAGCTCGCGATGTCTATTAATGGCAATTTTCGATGGAAATAGGCCGGCGAGATTTAAATTCTCGTCTCTCCTCATTTTATCTCGCATCGTCGATGGAAAAACCTTTATGTTATTCATTTAACAATAATACTAGATATCAATGAAAAGACTGACAAAGTGGTCAGATTGCAATCAACTTCAATATTTAACGTTAAAAGTCAACCCCACAAGTTTAATCCATTCATTTGTTTAAGTGCTTAGGTCGTGGTGATTTGAAGTTCTTAGTGGCAGCAACTGTTATGGATAAGCGTATCGTTGACCACCACGTATGCGACTTGTTAATTCTGTCATTATACCATAAAAAACAATATTATAATTTCAGGAAGTAAAGGCAACGTCTCAGTCTTTATAATTAGAGGATTGTGTTTTTTTAATTATATTAATTCTTCTTTGTTATTTGATGTTAATTATATTGTATTATTAAATGTTTTTAAAGCAGTGCTTATATTTTTTACTTTAGGCTACACTTTACGTTGTATAAATAAGTATTTTAGGTTATCGTTCAAACTGAGAAATACGCCTTTGTTTCAGCTATCAGTTGTATATTTGATGGGGTCAAATTTCATGAATACGGGGGCTGTGGCAATAGTTCGTGTCATAATTCGACAAGTTTTGATGTTCTCAGATGCTCCATCGTCGACTTCATCGTCACTTTCCATCAGGTGAGATGGAAGTCAAATGCGCACTTCTTTTTTTATTAAAAAAATTTCGTTTTCCACCTTCAAAAAATATGTCGACCTCACCTAACTTTCTTATTTCAATTTTTTTTTCGCGCTAACTTTTAAAAAGTAACGTCTGTTGCTTAGTAAGGAGTTCTAAATGAAGAAATAAAAATAAATTTCGAAAAAGATTTTGACAATAACAACAATTCTTCTCAAGGTATGGAGTTATTTGAAACAAAATTGATTCAGGCGGCATTATTACAGACCGAAGCCTTGCTGGAAGTCAAATATAATTTGGTCCTATCAGAAATCGAACCTGCTTATCGAGTACACATATTGACAATGGAGATTGACCCTGAAGTTCTCTTGTGTACCAATGCGGAACGCGTGGATTCATACGTTTACAATACAATGTTTTAGCAAAGTCATTGTCCAGCGTATAATTGTTTTAAAACACGATTTTGTAACTAATTATTATTTCTTCGATAGCTATGTCACTTGGTTTTACTTGACTGTATCTTGATATAATTTCATGTTATAACAGAGTATCAAAAAGTGGTCTCAAGCAGCGGCCGTGGGTTTGTTCATCTCTGCGTTTCTCGGAATTTATGTGCGTAATTTAATTTGAAATTTATCGTGACCTTTCAGTGAAGGAAAATATCGTAAAATCAGCACGACGAAGAAGGTACTCAACCCTGGGAAAAACGTGTTAAATCCCCAACCCGTACTGGGACAGCGTGGCGAACTGTGGCCTAAAACCCTCACCTAAGAGGAGACACCGTACCCAGCAATGGGACGTATAAATGGATTGATATTGATGAAAACCTGGGATTGACACACACGCTATAAAACGAACACTTTTTGTTATAATAAGCATCTGCATCAAAATTACATAAACGGTTTCAATCATACACTAAACTCACAATAACATCAGAATTGGTCAATTTGAACTATAAATTGAGAGCATTTAAAATTTCAGTACATTTCGTAAAAGTCACCCTTGAGAGAATGCATGTAAGGTCTATTTTACAATTGTTGAAATTAATTCCGCATAAACTTTATTACACCATCTGGATAAAGAATTGTGTACTTAATTTGTGGCATTAAAAGTGGTTTAACTTATACAAGTTCACTGTTGGGTATACATAGTCTGAAAATAAAAGTTTTTTTTTATGAAATCCATGAATAAAATAAGTCAGTTCATCTATTGGTGCACTGTGCAAAAGACTAGTTTTGCTGTTTAATTCTGATATATTTTTGTACTCAGGTAAGAAAAAAATAAAGTCTAAAGTTTTAGATACAATATTAAAGATAAACAAACAAACAATACGTTGCCTATATTCATTGTGGACGCGTAACTATAAATCTGACGTCTACTTGCCATTTATTCACAATCATTTGCTTACTTGATACAAATGCTACAGTCTTTTAAAATAAAGAAACTACTCGTACATGCTAATGTGCATATCGCTTAGATTGTGGAAAAGACCCAAATTAAACAACGTGGAATCAAAATCGAACAAGTGCCGCAATAGACTCAGAAAGAAAAGAAAATAAACGATAAGAGTAAAAGATATACCAAAAATGAGTTTCGCAGGAAAATCAGTGATAATCACAGGTGGAAGCTCCGGTATTGGAGCTGCCACAGCCAGGCTGTTTGCTGAACAAGGAGCCAGCGTAGTCATAGTCGGACGAAACCAAACCAAACTGACTGCTGTAGCTGAAAAACTTTCAAAGAATGCCAAATCATTGAGTCTTAAAGCTGACGTCACTACAGACGCTAAGAAAATCATCGACGAAACTGTGAATAAGTTTGGCAAAATTGATATATTGGTTAATAATGCAGGGTTTGGCAAATACGGTAGTCTTTCTGATGGGAAATTCTTGGAAGCTTATGATACCATAATGAGAACTAATATGAGAGCTGTAGCTGAACTTACTATGTTAGCTGTTCCTCATTTAACGAAGACTAAAGGGAATATCATCAATATTTCAAGTGTTGCGGCGAAGTCTCTGCCGTTTGATGGAAAGCTTCTGCCTTATTGTGTTTCTAAGGCTGCTTTGGACCATTTTACTAGAGGCGCCGCATTGGAATTTGCTCCCAAAGGTAAATATGTTATGTAGGGAATAATTTTGGATTAACTGACATAACTGGATAAAGGCGGGGTCCTAGAGCTGGAAATTTCATCCGGCGTTCGTTATCTCTCCTCACAACGCATTTTACTGTAGTACGGAAAATAACCAAAGTACTCTAAAACTATTATAACCTTTCTCACAGGTATCAGAGTTAACAGCGTCAACCCCGGTCCGGTGGCGACAGACTTCTTCGATAACATGAATTTCGAACACACTCTTGATGATCTAAAAGAGATGACTGCTCTGAATAGAGTCAGTACTTCCGACGAGGTTGCTGAACTAATTTTGTACCTTGCTGGTGATAAAGCTATAGGAATCACTGGATCGATTATGGTTACCGACAATGGGTATCTGTTGAGAAACTAAAGCGGACTGCGATGTTACGACGGGAAAACTTTTAGGTTTTGGTATCTGTGACATTTATGTCGATACCATCAGCACTATTTCAAGTCCCAAAAGGTATTTTCTCAGTCTTTAAAACTCAGTGATATTTTGTTTTATAAGTATTGTGTTGTGTTTTTCGTTAATAGGTTTCCTACTGTAGTATTGTGACAATGATAATATGAAATTTTATTTGGTTCTGTTCCGATTCGTTACGCTACGCCGCGTTTCATAGTTAATAAATACCTCATAATTATGTACGATGTAGCACTAATACTAAGTGTAGTGACGTCATAGTATTTCATAAATTTAATAAAACAGTTTAGTCTAGTTTATTTCTCTCTACATTACAAATTTCATACAAATACAACTACATGCCATTTTATACTACTTTTCGAAAAGTGAGCGTAAAATTTACAATATAATGAAGAAATAATTATATTATAGTGAATCATAAGTACACAATAGTGCACATGTACAAAATGGTAAATTATAGAATGCTAGAAGTGAGACGCAATCTGGCTCTTGTAACGTATGTGTTTCGTCTGGTACGGGGAATAATATACAACCCATTTTTGTTGTCCAAGGTAGGCTTTATGGTACCTAGAACTAATCTGGTGCGACTTCATAGAATGAGGTTATTTGCAGTACCTACCACACGATGTAGAGTGAGTGAGATGGCCCCCCTGCCCCGTGCACTTAGGTATCTAAATCAGTTGCTTAACTTCGACTCCTCATTGGACCTCTTTGCATGCTTAGAAACAAAATTCATATTTTCCGCAGGACGCTATCTGGAGTCCTTGACCGGAGACAGTAGTATTAAATGTTAGTTTAAAATGTAATTACAAATGGTTTTTATCTTTTTTTTTGTCATTAATGTTAATCTGTAATAATTTATTGTTTATGGTATTGTATTAATAATTTTATCAATTTTCATATTTTATTCACTTTTGTAATTGACTTAAGATTAATTGTACATTTAGCTTTAAGTCTTACTATTGCGTTTGGGTTGACTGTAAGCAATATGTAATAAATAAATAAATAAATCAAACATAATTAAATTAATCTAATAAATAATTGAATTAAACTGACAATATCAAGTGTATACAGAAAATGTCAATACAGATTCTTAATAACTAATAAATGTATATTACAGTATAATAATACGATTAAGTACTTTGACTGTACTCTGTTACTGAGTAAAGGGACTTTTCAAATAAAAATAAATAAATTAGAATAAAATAAATAAGAAGTTATACAGCTAAATACTAGCAATTTATATACGAGGGTAAATTTAAATAATTTAAACAGTAGTAACAATACGGTGGTGACGACACTGACTTCATTATATGTGTTAGTAGCGTCATCTGGCGGGTTATGTATGCCATGCCAAGAGTCCGTCATGCCATATCGTATTGGCATTAGTCTTGTAGCCTAGCCTTATGGTGGCACTTCATATGGCTATTTGTAATTGCGTATTTGACATATTTGGCAAATAATCGACATGTGTGACAAAGTATTTGTCTTGTTTGCCTATTCGACAAATACAGCAAACACCAAACTCGCGTTACCGCGTGCTGATTGGTTACTCGACGCACATCAAAGGAGCCAAACATGTAAATACGCAAGTAAACCGTGTTACAGATCTTGCACTTCATTATGGTCATATTCATTATTTCTACTTTTATTATCTACTTATTTGGCTCCATATGTAGCCGGTCATATATTTAGTCAGTGTCTGCATATTTGTCTGTACGGCAAACATTATTCCAAGTACATTAAACACCCAATAGCCAATACAAGTAGCCATGTGAAGTGCAGCCATTAAAGAAATAAGAATGCAGAAGGTTCGGTCCACAAGATTTATTGTAAGAGATGATAAAAAGAAGAAAAGGAAGGATGAAGGAGGTCAGCATCGTCACAGTCTAGCGGTTAATAGAACTTCCTATCGCGATCCACCCCACGTATGTTATATAGCGTTATTTTATTGTTTATTCATATTAGGGCCGTATAACACATCACGTAACTTCTTTTTTCCTCTGAAATATTCCTGCGCGACAGCAAGTGGTTTAGTTGCAACTCTCGTACAACATGCTATGCCATGGGGTATCAATTTGTACATATTAACTTTAGTACTTACTTAAACGTATAGATGGCGACACTTGAATAAAATACAAGTATAAAGTATTAAATTTCGAAAATTTGAGTGTGAAAAAATGTCATACTAATTAAAGAAAGTATAAAATATAAAAAGAAATGCAAAACTATTTTTAACCGACTTCAAAAAAAGGAGTAGGTTTTCAATTGGACTGTATGTTTTTATTATTATTATTATTATTTTTGTATGTATGTTACGCGATAACTCCGGTATTTATGAACCGATTTTCATGATTCTTTTTTTGTTTGAAAGAGGGTACCTCCATAGTGGTCCCATTTAATTTTGAAAAAATCATCCACTCTAAGGGTGGCTGTTCACGCATAAAGATGAATATTTATAAATATATATAAATTAGATAGATAATTATATAGATAAATTTTTATAAATACCACCTAAATCTTATTTTTATTTCAATTATTTGAATGGTTGATTTTGCTATTCTCCAATTCAAGGCGTTTTTCTCTCAATATACTTTGAGTAGTGACTACCGATTTTTATTATATCTATATATATCTCCTGCGTCAAGTCCCGTATAGTGGCGAACTAGGGGATATTTCAATAAAACTTGGCAAGTAGACGTAATTCCACATACTTTTGAGGTCGATTTTTTAGTACTCTGTACTAAGATTATGCTATTCTCCTATTCAAGGCGTTTTTCTTTCTCAATATACATTGAGTAGTGAGAACTGATTTTTATTATCTCCTGTGTCAAGTCCCGTATAGTGGCGAACTAGGGGATGAATATGGGTTTGCGCACTTTCCGGTAAATAAACCTTAGCAAAGAGATGTAATTCCACGTACCTTTGAGGTCGGTTTTTTACTGAGATTATAAACAACATTTTAGGAATGTTCCATTGAAATTCATTTACAATTATGATAATTGGTAACAACAGTAAACTGTCATGATTATTATTACAAAGATCGAACACAAAAAAAATATTTTCAATCCGGGGCGAGACTTGAACCCCGGACCATGCTGCACCGTAGCATTGCTCGTACCAACTGAGCCACGTGTCAAGTTACCGAGCTGTCGAAATTGTAATACCTATGTGTTTTTATTATAGATCTTTGTACTGATTTTTGGCATTCGTCGCCGCCCATAACATCCAGTGAGACAATAAACTGTCGTTGAAAATATAACAAATCCAAGGTTTCTCAATTTTGACTCGTTAGTTTGCAATAAATTCCATAGATGGCATTTCTTTAAATTAATTCTCCAAACTAGCTCAGCTTCGTCCCTGAACAAGAGCAATAACCTTGATAAAAATGTAATTGCTGCCATCTGTTGACCTTTTGGAATATTATTACAATCGCATCGCGGGCTTACTTGGTACCATCTATTGATTGTGTTACGAGTGCGACATATCTTTATATGAGACTGGGTATCTGTACTTGTATAGTATTATATTATCTGTACTAATGCTATATAAGATATAGCTGATAAAACGTATTGTGTAGCCTATGTCAAAAAGTATAAGTGAGACAAACGTAATTTAAAAATGCCGATAGTGTAAAATGATGTAGGACTGATATGCGGTTTCCGCAATACCTACGTACTCAAACTTATCAGTAGTTATGTCCTCAGTCGTAGGACACCATATCAATCAATCTTTGTTATTGTAAAAGGTCCCTTATCAACAAGGCGGAGGGCTTTAAGAACTCGACTTTTGTATTTTTTTTACAATAAATACAATGTTTATTTCTTGTGTGAATAAAAAAAATACAAAGAAATTCTTTATAATAAATACTTAAGTAGTTTGTGTTTGAATTGCAAATAAATTTCTATGTTTAATTTTGAGCGAATATTTTAATTTTGAACTTAAGTAACCTCCTTACTTGAACAAGAACCTGATCTATGTAAGGAAGTATGTCGTGCTACAAATAAAAAAACTCCTTACCGATCATGGTTGTAATGGGAAGTAAAAAGGCCCGACAGTTTTAAGATACTCGTATTATTCAATTGATTTTGTTCCGAGTTCCATACAAAGCAACTAAGCGATAATTGGCTAAATTCATTTCAATGCTAACAATGGAAATGATATTTCTGAAGAACTTTCGGACAACCAGCAACTCCTGAGTAAGGAGCGAAACACGTATGGAGTATATTTACAGTGGTGGTGTTACTGCAGACTTGTTCAACTTTTCAAGGTGACAGTGAAAAGGCACTATTTAAGTGCGACATCGTCCCTCATCGTCGCTTTCTGGAGGTCAAATGCGCACTTACTTATTAAAAGAAATCAACTGCTTATAAAATAGGTATTTAACACAAACGCAGCCATTTTCTACGATTTAGTCTTCACTGGGTTCGTGGCAAGTAGCAAAGTAAATTTACTTCGATTTTTGTTAATTACCCACGTGACCCACTTCATCTAGTACCCAGATTGCTAGCGAAGGTTAGAGCGCTTACACACAGTGACTTTTTAACGGCGATGCAAACGCGATGCACTTGCGATGTAGAAGCGATGCAGTCGCTAATCGTCTACCTTTACACACGCGCGCGCTATTGCATCATTGCTAACAGTCGCCATGTGTAAGCAATCTTAACCATGAAACTCTGGCGAATGCAAAGGCGGAATGCGTCAATTCGTACGTTTAGTACAGAACAATGCTTTAACACAGTCATTGTCTGATGACATCCTATAATTATGC